CGCATACACCTGCGGAGAGCACGATAAGATCTGGACACCTGAAGAACCTCTCGCCAGTCTTCGTTAACACACTGGCTCAGCTGTTCACATGTAACCTGTCTGAATGCAAAGTCCCAACTCAACGAAAGACCAGCATGACCTTTCTATTGTTCAAGAAGGGTGACCCCCACGATATGGACAATTGTCATGCAGCCTACTTGATGTCTGTCCTATACAGACTTTTCACTCGAGTCACCTTAAACACGATTGACGGAACACTGGACGAAGGGCAACCATGCAAGCAAGCAGGGTTTCGAAGAGGATTCAGTATGACAGACCACATCCAGATAATAACAAAACTCACTGAAGTATCAAGAAAGTACAGAAAGTACCCAGCTGAAATAGAAGCAGTCATAGAAGCCCTGGACAATCAAGTAGTCCCAACTTAGTATATAAAGCTTATTCGTAAGCTTCGCAAAAATTTCGCAACCAATGCATCACCATTCTACAACGATATTAACATGGACGTCAAAAGAGGGGATAGCCAGTGCGACACCACCTCGCCAAAATTATTTACCGCCACCCTCCAGAACGTCATGCGAACATTGGAAGGGAACAACATGGGAGTCAAAATCGACGGTCAGCAGTTACACCATCTTAGCCTTGCTGAAGACATCGTCCTTATAACACAAAACATTAGCGAAACGGAACGTATCCTTGCTGACTTTGATAAAGCGTATGGAAAGATTGGTCTTCGACTAAATCTCACAAAAACGATGTTTATGAAGAACAGATTCGTTTTGTATGCCCCATTCACACTCAAGGAAACGATTATCTCCGAAAGCTCCAGTTACGTCTATCTGGGTCGAGAAATTAACATGGTGAACGACTTGGCTCTAGAGCTGAGCAGAAGGAAATGAGCGGTTTGGGGAGCTTTCGAGAGAATCGAGGATGTAGTGAAGAGAATAAAGAATACCCGACCCTACCCTTTCGACTCAACGATACTTCCTGCCTTAACGTACAACCGATGGACAAGAGCAGTTAGTGAATTCCTGAATTCCTTGAAATGTCAAACGTACTGCAAAAAGACCACTGACTCGATGGCCAGAGTTCTTCACGAAAATCTTAGAAGAAAGATATGATACTCAACGAGTCCCTAAAGCGAGCAGAACCTAGGCTACTCTTGCGCGCGACAGGGAAAATTGGAGGGCTTACTGGCGTCCGCTCGAGTCATTCAACGGTCAACGGGACGACAGGAGATATCATTGTGCATAGATGGTCATATAGGCGGTTATTATGAAAGCATTTGACTGAGTAGATTGCATGCCAGTTTAATCCTTCTAGGCTCTGAAGAAAGCGAAACCGCTGAAATATTAACCATTGTAAACAAGTAATAAATCCTATGATAACAACATCATTATTGTCCATCAAGAAAACAGTGAAATACCTACTACCAAATTTATAATATCCCTAATATGAATTGGCACAACGTGAAATTCAGTAATTCGATTAATAACTATTCTACAGATGCAGTACTTGTCTCGCCACTTAATTTTATACATCATAGCAAAGACGGATTTCTACTCACGCTTCTCCAAAATTGGATATTCCTAGTATTTTAGCTCATTATGGTCTTTAATGAGGGCTTAGTAACGGAGACCATACTTCCACCCAGTTAGCTTGTCGACTAGGTCCTTAGGCAAAGGAAAATCGTGGAGAGGCAAAACTGCGCACGGAGTCGCCCATTCCATCTTTCCCAGTTATACTTTGGATACCTCTACAAGCTTCCTGAGCCAAGCAATTCTTTTGTTTCGTGTCTGGAATTATATCGCTCATTATGTTGACTTCTCTGCGCAGATGATTGGCGGGAATTTGAAGACGATGGTACTGCCGTACAGTTAACATAAACATTGTGTTCTTTGCGTTCAAATCTCCTTAAACGTGCGTTAGGAAAGGGTCCGCATCCAATCCTCCTACCCGCTCGTGGAGGCTCTTATGAGAGTATTGTTATTTTTCACATAATATATATTAATCAGTCAACAGTACCTTGCCGTTCCAGAACAATCCCTCTGCGTCATTCATCAGCGGGTTTTCGCGACACCGAAGTTCATCGCCGAGTTAGCCTCTATTAACCCAGTAAGAAAACGAAACTATGCGCTTTAAGCAGTGTTCCGTATCGAAAAGATCTGGCACATGAGCTCAACCGTTCGTTATTACCATCATCACACAAATCCAAAAGCATCATTCGCATATTTAAGATCGAACAACGTTTCGACTCGAAGCAGAGCGAAAGTGGAGTCGATACAAAAGATATGAACAAAAGATTTAGTGAACATGAACCCTTATGTTTCCGATATCACATTGATTTCAGCTTCTCTTTCACTGTGACAGCAAAGAAATAACTACACCCAGTCATTAAAGAAAAGACACGATAACACTTACCAATAAGGCATATTTATGAAATACTAGGGCGTGTGCGGAGCAATGGTCGGAGGTGCCCTACAACACAAACGTGGAATCGATCCCCCGCTCGTAGCCCACGAAGCCTTCCACAACTCTGGGTCGGCAAATTGGTACTAGACCTGTCGGGGAGGATGGAAGCACTGGTTCGATATATCGGTGGGCTATCGCGAGTCATCGTAAAGGCCAGATATGTATTCAATCACCTCCAAACGATGCTTAATGAAGTCGAATGCATGGCACATCCCTAAGGGATTGATCATCGCCAAGAGCTTTATCCTTTATTTATGAAATACTAACCACAGAATTTATCAAGAAGTTCTGTGCATGCGATAAAGTCATCCAACAATTCGAATTCAATAACTTAGTTCTGAACGTCAGTTGTGTATGAGACTCATTTGAATCGAGCAATAATCAACAAGAAATCGTTCTCAATGAAAAAGCACTTGTGACATGACAAGCACTCTGCCTTTTCATAGGTCAGAGCACTAGACGAGGACAACCGCGAACAGGTGAGCTTCACCGATATCGCTAAAATTCTAATACAATCTAAGTTTCTGAGGATGTGAACGCTATTTGCGTAAGATAACAGTAATCGTACTGATGTTGGAGCGATATCGCACCAGGCTACAGAAAATAAGGCAGTTGCTGACTGGAGTATCGAATTAAATAGATAGCTAGCTATAGGTAGATTACAGGACTCTACCCTGGGTCACTGTCATCCTTCACTAAATCTTTGTAAGAGAAGAAGTTTGATGGTTGGATGGAAGGTAATTTACAGTGAGTCCACTTGTCGTATGATAATTTTGTGATACGGTTGGCACTTGACCGCGATCGACACTAATGACACCTGAAAAACGTCATATGATTAGTAGACAAACTAAATTTTATGTAATTCAATTTGGTTTGTAACCATAAACGTAGAGAGGTCAGCATTTCCTTTGTCTCAAGGTTTTCGCCAAAGTGACTGAGTTTTCGCCAAACTGAGTACTTCCATCATTAAAAAGAAATCAGCTGCCGCACGTTCAAGGGAAGCAATGTACTCCAGCTTTTGTTATACGAATGGTTGCGGCAAAACGTCTAACGAAAAAAGAGGATGAGACGCTGATTATGTTTTCAAGATAAACTCCGTTAACCCATTGATGACTTGTTTTATTTTATTTTATTTCATTTGATCTGTCTTCACGTCTACCGTGCGGATCCCGGCACTTTACACATTCGATTCGTCTCCTCAAATCCATCATCCATGAAGGTGTTCTAACGTTTACGTATGGCTTCGGTTGCTGCTTGACGATTTTCATTTCATCTTGAACGTCGTAGAATGCTGGTCGAGCAATTCTCCCTGAAGTCCTGAGATAGCTGGGCTAGAACGTTCCCAATTAAACTGAAGAGAGTGATTTTTCCCAAACAAATCCGGTACCAATTTTCCGACCCCAGAGGAATGAGAGGCTTGATTGGCCCGGAGAGAAAACGAACTACCACCATGCTCTTGCTTGACGACGGACATCATTACTACTGCTCTATCCGCCCCCTAACACACTAAAGATGGCATTTAATTTTCGATGGCATGTAGAGGCGGATACTACAGTGGTAGTGGTGTTCTTCATTACGAAAACGGTGCTAGTTCGATTCCTCTCCGACCCAACCAAGCCTCTCATCTCTGCGGGGTCGAAAAATTGTTGGTACCGGACTTGTCTGGGAAAAAAATCACACTATGCACTTCATTTGGGACGCTCTAGCCCCGCTATCTCAAGACTCCACAGAGAATTGCTCGATGAGGATTCCGCAACATTCAAGATGGAATGAAAATCCTCAAGCAGCAACCAAAGCCATACGGAAAAGTTGAAAGATCTTCGTGGACAATGGATGCGAGGAAACGAATCAAATGTGAGAAGTGCTGTGATCCACACAGCAGACGTGAAGACGGATCAAATAAAGTGAATAGAATAAAAATAGAAATTAATACCATATTGACAATTCACACTATAGAGCGATAGCACAAAGCGTTCTAAACAACCATGTCGTTTTCACAACCCCTTAAATCCAAACCCAGTTTCCGAGAAGTATCGTGATCTGTCAAAACACTAGTAGGTCCATAAAAGGATAAAGGATAAAGCTCTCGGCGTTACTTAATCCCTGAAGGATGAGTCATGCATTCAACTTCACTAAGCATCGTTTGGAAGTGATTGAATGCATATCAGGCCTTTACAATGACTCGCGGTGACCTACCGATGTATAGAGCCAGTGCTGCTATCCTCCTAGACAAGTCTGGTACCAATTTTCCGACACCGGAAGGATGTAAAGCTTAGTGGGCCATGGGCGCGAGGATCGATTCCACGTGTGTGTTGTAGGGCGCCTACGACCACTACGCCACACGCGCCTAGTAAGTCCATAATAGCCGAAAATGGCGTCGCCCTATGCGCCGGCCACGAAAAATCACAAAGAACAAATCAAAAAAGGAATAATTTTTAAGTTCTAGAAGATCAGATTCTTGTCTTGGGAAAATAGGTAATTGTCCACCTTTTGGTGAAACTCCAATAGCATATATTTCCATTAGTTAGTTAACTATGAACCAAAATATGACATTGGTGAAAAAGTACAAAAATCGTTTCCCTTTCATTACATATCGAAGACCACCAGTACCTCATTTCGACTTCAATTAGCCGAATAAGAACGATCACCCACCTCAGACGGGATTTGTGCCTCTCCTTCAGGAGCGGTTAGGAACAGAGCGTATTCGGCATCGAATTCTTTGCGGTTCAAGCTCATCACGATGGCGATTGCTTCACGGCACGACGTCTCCTTGGCCAAAAGAAGCGATTTGTAGTTTGACTGCAATCATTATAAGTAGTATGAAATTTTCAGAGTTCGTGATGCATTCGATGAGGAACGCTTTCTTTCCAAAGTTCATTTTTCAAACTGATTTTGGCGAGTTCTCTTAGTAGTTTCCAAAACACCTGGATATAGGAGACAAACAGAGAGTAGGTACGATAGTTTACAGTTCCCGATCATTTCCATTAAAACTAGTGTTGTTTAATACTTTTTATTTTTGTTGGTCCTCGCAGTGACCGAAATAAGAAAATTATGCTTCGGCTTCCCACGTGGGGCGCGTGCAGCGCAGTGGTTAGAGGTGCCTTCGACTATGTACGCGGTCACTGGTTCGATCTCGAGCACAAGAGGAACCAAGCTTTTCACCTCTCCGAGGCAGACAAATTGATATCAGACCTGTCTAGGAGAATACAAACACTGAACTGATACATTGGTAAGTCACCATTAGTCATTGTAAAAGCTAGATATACATTAAATCACCTTTAACGATGCTTGATGAAGTCGAATGGCGCAACCTACAAGAACTGAACAACACCGAGAGCTCTATAGCTCTATCCTTTTTTTTATTTATTTCCCAAGTCTCCATGAAAGTCATTTGCTGCATACTAATAAGCGATAAGTGCATTAAATCATTCTAACTACAGCACACTTGTAGTGAATAGTGAATTGTATTAGGGTAACAAACCTAAATAAACATCAACAACTCATTTCCGTTCCAATCAACAACAGACTATGACTAGATCCTGGGACTCAAGCGGTACGAAGTTCCTAATTTCACTTATACATATGGCGATTTTTCGAAATCCGACAACCATTAACGCAATGATCCTCTCTTTCAGACTCGTAATGAAATCACTCATTAAATTATTTGTGTTTATCCGGGAATAATCCCTCTTGTAACTCTGATAAGCATCGTCAATAGGGTCAGATTACTTGGAAGCGACCATGCATCAGAACTGTTGAATAGTTCCCATTGGCATCACTGGCAAGTGTCACCTGTTATCGAGATGCCATCACACGCTTAGAATTACAACAGTTAAAGTTATAAGACAAACATCTGTCACATGCAGACGACTACAAAAAGACCTCAGTCGTTTGTTCTTATTATGCGATGTGCATCGGAGAAGTTCATCCCCTAACAGAGCCTCCCAAACTGAGAAGGCGTTTAGCGTTTCCATCAGGAAGCCCACCTAAGAGTAAGCCAATACCAGGCTCCGCCACCGTCCTGCTATCAAACTAGTCGCATAGTGGCAAATCTTCCTCTTCTCAAGGCGTTGACTGCCTGTGCTGGTAACGACCTGGTGCAGACTTTGACTTGAATAGCCTCAGAACTCCAGGGAATCACGATGGCTAAACCATCGAAACTCCGAAAAAATGGAAATTGTGCTGGGACCCGCACAACCAGCGAGGACGGGTCATGCAAGTGTCCAAGTAAGTAAGACCCATAATAACATATACTGTCCGGATCCTAGCACTTGTTGCATTCGCTTCGCTTTCCTCGTATTCATCGTCTACAAAGGTCTTCGAAAATTTCGCGGGATTTCGGCAGCTGCTTCAAGATTTCACCCTCTTTATAGATGCCGCAGAACTCTGGTCGTGTCTATTCTCGTTACAGTCCTGGAGATAGCCGAGCTACGCCGTTTCCACGTAGATAGGAAGAGAGCTTTAGGGAAGCAGTTGAACCAGCACCATGCTTCCTTATTGGCGAAATAACTAACCGCTGCGCTACCTCCCCTCAATACTACTAACCGTTTCAATATAGAATAACGAGCAAACAAAGTGCTGAGAACGACTACGTATGATTTATTCTGTGCAAAAGTGATTCGCCCGCGAATAGAGATTGAAATTCCAGGCCATCTTATTTTAATGCAAAACGGTTCAAGGGCTTAGGGTGTGGTATACCATGGAACCGACGCGGGCTCACATCGAAGCAGTGGTATGATGGAGCGGCGATTCTCAAGTCTCTAAAATCAAAATGTTCACTTATTAGAACGACATCATTTGGAGGTTCATCACTTCTGCAGTGAAAATTCTGAAAAATATAGGAAACAGGTATAACAGTGTTTGTTTTTTATCGCAGTGTGGGAAGCTCTGTTCTATCCACTGCTTAGTGACCGAGAGTCGCAATCATTCACGACTTTACTGTATCAGAGCTTTCGGCTGCCCAGCAAAGTCAAGAAATTTTTGTCACTATCGTACTTGGACTAGAATTCTTTAGAGTTTTAATTTTACTTCTATTTCTTAGGATGTCGAATCTCCTAAACTTATTTCTAAACTTCCTCATTATTCTTTTCGCTTCTCATTGATTTTGGCACTCTTTATTTGTTGTTATTTAAGTAGAAAAGAAGAAAATAACGAGAAAAAAACGACTCAGGTCTTTTTCGTGGCCGTCTACATGCGATAGATGTTTGTCCTATAATGTTAACTGATGTAATTCTAAGCGTGTGATGGCATCTCGTTAGCAGGTGACACTTGCCAGTGATGCCGATGGGAACCAGTCCTCAATTCTGATGCATGATCATTTCCAAATAATCTGACTCTATCGACGATGCCGATCGGAGTTACGAGAGAGATTATTCCCGGATAAACTCAGGAGTTTAATGAGTGACCTCATTACGAGTCTGAAAGAGGGGATTATTGCGTTAATGGTTGTCGGATTTCGAAAAATCGCCATATATATATAGTGAAATTAAGCATTTCGAACTGCTAGAGTCTCAGAATCCAAATGGGATCAACAATAACTAAAGGCGAAACAGCGGCGATGTGAACACGTGGACGACGCAAGCGAGAGTTTGGTTCGTGTGGATGCACTGATGTCAGTAATTCCTTTCACACTTTAGCATCGCTGCTACATAAGCTTGTAGTCTTTTGTATTTTACCAGCCCACTGAACGACGTTTGTGCGAGATTCCACATACCCGTGGTGAAGAATAAAGTCACTTTTGAGATGTAAGCGCTACAAACTAATTAAAAACCTCTAAATTCCGTAATATAAACATCAAATTTTCACCAATTGCCTCGCATCTGTTCGCCACACGCCTTCCTACCACTGGCTGTGGACGATGTCGATCTTCGTTCTGGTGCATTCATGGAACGGAAGGTTGGTAACTCGTCAACGGCGCAATTTTTTCTCGTATGCGGCGCCTACCTTTGAACCGGTAGTCTGGGAGTATAGTAGAACTGACTCGATACATCGCCAGGCCACCACGAGTCATTGTAAGGCCAGATATGTAAGCAATCACCTCCAAACGACAACGCTGTGAGCTTTATCCTTTATCCTTTTTACAGAGCGATGAGTCCTTGAATTCGAAGAGTGAAAGCAGCGAAAGTTCGCACTAATCCTCATTTCATGCATTCAGTATTCAGCTGTTATCAAACCTCTTACATTCACTGCTGACGTCCCATTCGAAATTTTCAACGGGGCAAAAAATTGACCGTATTCGTACAAACTTCTTTTGATTCACCATTTCAAGTTTCATCAACAATCGAATGGAATAAGCGTCTTTTAACTCTAGATTCGAAATACCATAAAGCCAAAGGTTGAATGAATTTAGATGAGTTTGAGGAGACTTTACATCACCAGTGGATGACTGCAATCGATTACATTAAGGTGAATCTGTTCCATGACTGAAAAAAGTCAACGGCAGTGATTAGGAGAACATTTTAGGCGCCGTTATAAAGCGTTAAAGCTGACTAACTCTTGAAACTATCGAACATTAAACATCAGGAAACAAGCACTTTTTGTCCCACCCGGTCCTCTCTATCTCTCTGCTTCTCTACCTGAAGTGCATCTTTTTATTAATCGAATGCGCCGAAAAAGAGGAATTAATGTGGACAAGTCTGGTTCGGAAGAATCCAGGCATGATGCATTCATAACCTTAAGATTTGTCTTCTTAAGACAGTTAATGCGCATCTACTAAAATATCAGCCTATTAGCTGCCCAATATCACATAACAACTTTAGGATATCCGAACCTTAAACGTTAAAATAAGAACTTAAAGAAACCCTCCAAAATTAACGTGTCAGACAAAAATCCTGGAGGGGACTCAATCAAAAATTCCATTGCTCAGATCTGTTTTAATGATGGAGAAGTCATAGTATGATCGCCGCTCTTGCATCGATTCAATCAATCCCTTGAGATCAGTTTTGATGAACAAGTTATTGCCCAACGTTCCTGTTCAGCTTACACTCACATATTGAAATATGACGCTGGACAGACAAACGAGGCCTATGCGCAAAATATTATATGTCATCCAAAGGGTTTACGCCAACAAAATTCATGTCAACATTTCGCAGCTACTGAAACTTCCAATGGTTATGTTAGTGATTTGAGCCAAAGAACATTTAAACAAATTATTGGACAGAATGTGACACTTTTTAACTCTTCAACTGAAATCTTTTCGTGAGGAAGAACTCTTGGGCACGGCCAAGGAAACTGACGTTGTAAACTAACGTCGCTCATTGTATTAGCAACGAGTGTATCCTCGGAAATATTTTAGAATACAAGGAACAACAGAAGAGGAACAATGAGAAGTTCTACGATTCCATCGACACTTTATAAGCTTGCTCCTCTTCCTCCAGTTCATTCACTGTGAAACCCTTTTTATTCTGAATGCCTTGTAATAAATTCTACAAGTAGGATACAAATAGTGAATCCAGTTATTCCTGGCAAATCGCAATCGACGAAAGAAAAGTTGAAAACGGTCATACCTGTGGTGAGATATTGTGGTCATAGATTCTCACAAGTGTGCCATCGGACGTCATATGAAGTATAAATCGTGACATATTCGCTGGATGACACCTGTAAGGAAAAGTAGTCGATTCGGCATTTTGATGGTGGTGAATAAGCGTTCCGTAATTTACTTTGGACGGTTCCTCATAATCGTCTTGGTTTCCGTTTCATAATGGAATAGCTTTCCACCTCGAAAGTTATAGAAAACTATACCCATGGTCCCACTATTAGTTCTTTATTCAGCAAAGTTTTATTCTCCAATTCCAACATACCTCTGCAATTCAAGCGGTCTTGCGGTATGGTCTAGCCTCAAAATCGTTTGCACTGGCTTGCCATTGGCCTTGGTTGTCACCTAAACAAATCAACCTATTTAACTCTTCTCAACGAGTAGCCATTAATCTATAATTTAATAACTGACGAGCTTCAGGTTAATATTCTATAAATAAACTGCTCCTGCTCGAATATATGTATCTCCTTGATATTCTCACCAAAAAACCACTAATTAAACATGTCTGGAGTTTCGAAAATTTCTCCATGCCATTCTTAGGTCAATGAGTGAGGTGGTGAAAGTTAAAAGCACAAGTGAACTAATAGCCAGATATCTTCCACAAACGGATTTCCTCACGTATAATACTCAGCGTTGAAATTTCTCACCTCCATCCACAACTCGAACAGATTCGTATCCCGACACGAAATCTTGAATTTGCTGAGTACAGTATCGATTACTGAACGCGACGTGCACTGAGTAGACAAGCGAATAGTCTTGTAATCGGTGCATGCCTTCACATTATTCGTGTAGACGCGCAGTGTTCCCTGAAAATCAGGACTGATTGAATATTTCAAATCGGCCGTAGCACGTCAACTCTCGTGCGCCACACCACCCGAACATCGCCGCCGTGACGTCTCATTTGAATAATCGTGTGATTTGCATAATCTTACCGTTATGTGGCGGCATTAAGGAATTAGCCTTAATTCGACGTGTGCGGACATCCTCATCTACCGTATTCCGAAAATTTCAGCAAAAAATAAAAGCACACGAATCGTCATTGCAAAGATACATGTCACCGCTAACGAACTACTCGATGAAATTCTCGGCTTATGGCAGCTGAACGTTCGCAGAAATTTAGCTTAGACCCTGGTAATTACTCGCCGTATATAAATTGACTAAAGTTTGAAAAGCCGTTAGTGAGTATAATCGGGAGAGCGACTGGACAGCTGGATGTTCGAGGAAATGAGTAAGCGAGTATTGTAACGCTACCCATTCACTACCAACCCAGTCACCATCTGAGTTTGCACTATCCACCGAGCTTAACGATGCCAATGAATTGCTTCTGCTCGTCAGAGTGGTGTCATGAGTTGACGATGATGGACTACCGTATGCTGATGGTCGACTAACTGCTCTCACTTGATATTTAAGCATCCTGTAATTCAAAAAAGCATAACAATAAATAAATAGATACCGTAAAAACGGTCCTTCACCCTCCATAAAACGTGAATGAAACCAGAAGAACTGAATAAAAATACAAATCGTGAGAAAATAATCAACACCTCTGATTCAAAATTCTCTGAGAGAGAACGTGATCTGTATAGCATTAGCAAAACCTTAACCTTCTTTGAAATGTCAACTGAAAGGCAAAAGTTCAAGAAAATAAAATGCAATGGATACCTGTCAATCTCGCAGAATTGTGATGCAGAGGAAAATTCAAGACAAGAGAAAGAAAACAAAGCAAAAAAAACAAACAAACAAATGAATATGAGGACGAAAGTGGATAACATTGTCCTTAGAAGGCAAGTTTGACTGGGCAACGGATCACACACAGGACAGCAGCTGTGTCACGCACATCTACCGTATTTCGAATTCCAGACGGGAAAGTCTTTCAAGACAGCGGTCTTCTTGACACGAACGCCACTGAGACCACTGAGAATACGAAGTGCTAATTCCTAGCCATATAATATAAATGTAGTCGTCGAAAAAAACGAAATATTACTGCGGAGACTTTAGAAAGAAGCACAAACAAACAGAGCTGGCGAACAGTGGCTGATATTCGTTAAGTCGCAGGCGTAACATAGTGGAATGGAACGGTGGAATCAAACCCTAACTGCAAACATGATGTCTTAAGCGATCGGTCGCACGATTGCACAAATTCATTGTCAAAAAGAAATCGGACTTTCCAAAGGTTGTCCCACACAAGTCGTACAGGTGAAATACGTATTCATTTTCATAGCGAACTTACATAAATAGCAAGTGAATGTGTGGTTATGCATTTGTGAAATTCTTTTTAAGAACAGTGCCCCAACAATTTAAGAGTTTCAGGGAACTGAACTGTAAGGAATGTGTGTATAGCAAGAATCCGTCGTCCGAAAAATCCACAAAAGCTGAGAAAAAGTTCTACATCTGCACCTGGAAATAAAGCTATGGGAAAAGTAACGTCGGGAAGCGTCACCATCCTGAATGAAGTCAGGACGCCAATTCGCAGAAACCGCTTGCGATCCACGATGGTCGATAACTGGCCGCGGTGGCAAACTTAGAACGACCCTGGCACGAGTTTCCCATAACTCCAGTGACTGTATCGATGGACAGAAAAATTTTCCAACTGGGAATGTATGGAAAATGTGGCACGGTTGGTACGATTTTTCGTACAGGCGAGCCATTTAGTTATATCAGTTGTGACATTACGTAATATGTGAAGCATCAACTTTTCAGTTTATGCCAAATATAAAACCATTGTGAAAGTCGACTAATTAAGTGTTGAAGCAAAATTTGAAAGTCACCGACAAGAAGCTTATGATGATCTGGTGATGTCTTGCACATGGAAGACATATGAGAAAAGACAATAGAACAAAACGTTTGAAATAATTAAACGACAATAACAATCGAGTATTCTACACGAAAAATTATTACCGCCGCAGAACAACAAGTACCCCGACTGTGAATGTGGTGAGAAGCGCTGGATATTCGAATGGAAGAAAAATCCTCGTGTTTCTCAACTCGACAATCATCTAAGGGGAACTAGAAGAGAGGAAGAAGCGATCAAGATCGTAGACCATTTCCGTTCTTTTTTGGTAGGTGAGATTTAAAAAAAACACCCTCATAGCGACACGTAATGAGACCAGGACGCGGAACGGCCGCCACCTGCGGCAGTCGAACCCGATCGGCTCCTCAGAATGTCCTTCATAGTGACTTCTTGGCATCATTCCAGGCGGCCCCACTATTTTCATGAACTGACTAAGATTTCTGCCTTCTTAGGCGAAATTTTGTAGGAAGTACAAAAACAGAGTCATCGGATGGAAAACAGTGGAAATTTTGGCCACCATGAATTTGGAAATGTTATAAAATTCACATGTCCAAAAAAAAGAAGTGAAATTTGGTGGAAAGTGAGACACTATCAAGTGGGAACAAGTGGATGAAGTAAGAATGAGAATCACGAACTAATATGATTTTACCTCACCAACTCCACCTAGGAAGAAAAAAATGAAGTATAGAATAGCTTAATTAATACGCAAAGTACCATTTTCACTGGATAAAATCACGAGGTCGAAAGTGACTCCACACTTTGTCCTTGAACAGGGATATCTCACCTCACAAAGAGAGTTATTCATCAAAAGAAAATACGTGAGAACACGAGTCTTTGCAAACAACCGGAAAGTCCTGTTATTCTATAGGGATAAAATTCTAATTTCTTAAGTGCACAAAAAGCACAAGGAATGCTTTTACTTTTCGTTCCCATCCATCGTGAATCATATTTGAATAGTAAAGTCACTAAATAGTCGAGATTTCACACAAGAAGGCAGGGCAGTATCCTATACTTCATTCATCGAAGTTAGTACAGTTGGTCTCTTCTCATTTCTCCCGATCTCTTCTATTCTCCACTGACTTTACTCGTCGTAAAACGATATCAATAAAATTGACTTTGAGTATTTACTCTCAAAACAGTTATTTTATTCATAGTTCCCTCATCTGGCGTAGCAGGCAACATCAATTCCAGTCCCAGTTATCTGAGCAGCAGGACATCAACGACACGTTGTAGATTTCAACCATGCGACAAATCCGTACATAGTCAACAACTTTGAAGTTTCGAAGCTCTGCTGCTTCATGCTTCATTCGGCTCATGTCATGATGCTGTCACTGGTATGGCAAGACTTTTCATAAAAGAACATGTAACTCGAGAGAAAGCGTGAGTGTTATTGTGTGAGTTCTGAGTTTTGGAGAAACAATAGCGGAACACAAAGAAATACCGACAGGCTCGGGCTTCCCCGGAAACAAACGAAGATTGTTTAATGAGAACCCACACTCTGTATTCATGTAAACGCTAATTACTTCAGGAGATGTAGCTGAGAGTTTTCTTCTTCACCAGCGAAATGGATTACGAATTAGCGGTGAAGACGACCAGTAGACATAGAGGTTCGGAGCAGAGTGTCCTTGATGTGAGAAAAATTTGAAGCAGCGGCTGAAATCCATGCTTCCTCAGTGGTTGACAAAAACACCAAACAAGGAATGCCGACGACGGCGGTAAGAGCAAACATGCCAGTGGGAACTACTGCGCGCTACTCTAATGGATAGCTTAGTGGTGTGTGATCACACTGAAATACACGGAAGCGTATAATTAGGAACGAAAGAAAAAAGCGAATACAAGCAAGTCTAGAAAGGAAGCGAAAGAGACAAAAGTAGAGAAGAACTGAAGAAAATCACAACGATTGCACTTCGTTGGCGTAAAGTGCTCACTTATCGTCATCATCTTCAGTCTCTGGCCGTATACCTTTTATATGTAAGAGCAAATATTTGTTTAGTATTCCATCTACATCTTGGATAGCGTTCGATCTAAACGGACCAGATGTTACACTAAAAACATCTACCACAGCTTTGAAGCAATATATCGTCAGGTTGGAACGATGACAGAGTGTAGCGATGTGATACTAATAAAATTAATTGACAAATACTATGTCGTTTTTTTTAAAGTGAAGCGGGAGAACGGGACGCTCGTCGTCGACGGAGACAACACAGGACTGCCGTCCATCGACGACGACATCATCAGCTGAACGGCACGGCCACACTGTTCAACAACAATAACAACAACAACGATGATAATTACAAAGATAACAGCAAACAACAACTACTACGACAACGATGATCGGTGCGGAACACTTCAGTGAAAGAACCGGTCATGGGTTCTTTGGAAAATGAAAGCGATTGAGCTTAGAGCATGGAAATTTCAAACAACATTTGGAATGAGGCCCGTTCTCTCTTACGGTTTAGTTAATTGTGATTATCATTACAAAACAGCTTTTATTCCGATATTAGCACAACGATGACTTATACTAAGTCAAAAAATATAAAAGACCTAAACCGTATATTAGAATTCACTCAAAGGCGGAAATATCGGTTCGGTTCTTTCTAGCCTTTGTATCTCCACCAACAGCGTTTCACGGCTCACCAAAAATACGACTAATCTATTCACATGAGATGTCGGCGAAAAAGTTTTGTTCAGTGAACATCTACGAAAAGCCTTCACATTTATGCTCCACCAAGAATCGTCGGTCAAGAATTTTGCTTTTAGATAACAATTTTGCTATTGTTGATTACTAAAGGATTCACGCACACAAGACTTTGAATATATCGATACCGGTATCCGTCATGAGACTAACCCATTATTTACTCAGGACGTCATGAATGATTCGTCAGAGGTCAGATCAAAAACACTTGCCGAATTCCGAAAACGAATGGAGGGCTGGCTAGACGACTGGTCACAAATCACTGGATCCACACAGATGCACCGCCGCGAGCTGACACCCAAACAGATGGCCTGCTGCCTTCCGCTTAGATCCTCGTAGTCTGTTAGCCGTCTCCACGGCGATTCAGGGAAAGAGTGACGAGGGCGAATGAGGGAATGACTTCGGAATTCGACTTGGCGAGTTGACGTTCATGAAAAGAACATCGACGGCGATTCAGTAGACGATCCTTAACCATCGGAAAAACACACAACAAACATCCACAGAACTATTTGCACGTTAATTTTTTCTTTCTAAAATGTTTATTTCTAAAATGTAAATCACTGGAACTGAGAGAATGGACACTGGTCAACCTTCGATATTCATTCTATTTATTTACTAACAAACCAGTTATTATTATTATTATTATTGGCGCGAAAGTTTACGAACGACCGAAGCATCAGCAACACCCAAGTTGAACGAGATGTCAAGTGTACAAACATGGGCGACCAAGCCAATGGTCAAGTCTGTTCTACTAGTTCAGAGAGCCTGTTAGGAAACCTGACACACGACATGGATTGATGGAAAGTTTGCCGATGTACCTACAAAAGAAGGGATGTAATAAATTAACTGGAGTACAAAACAATATAGTGGAGCAAATATTGACAAGTGGTTTTTTTCTTTCCACCGAATTCTCTTCTTGATTAATTCAAA